TGGACAATTTGAAGGCATTTTTGGTGTTCTCTTTGACTCCCTTTTTTCTCTCTCATACTCCAAATTCTATCCATTAGGAAACGCTGCAAAAAGTCCATCATTGAAATAAATCAAGAATCTAATCACTCCTACTACTTTGTTGCCTACATCCCAGGCCAAGCAATCAATATCTCTAATCTGGGACACTGAAGTGGTTTCCTGTAGTTCTCCCTACTATATCATTGGCCTATACCACCAGATTCTGTTTCCAAAGCAAGAGCCAAAGTGATCCTTTTTTCTGTTTTTAAAGATTTATCTATGCATACAAGAGCTGGGATACAGGCCAGAGATGTGGGGGGTGAGAGAATTTACCAGAGACAGAGTGGGGAGCAGAACAGGCAGATTGACTGAAATACACTGCTGAGGGGAGCAGCGGGCGAGAGAGGTGAGGTCTGCTGCGCCATGCGTGTTGCTCCCTGGCCAGCCGGGGATCAAACTTGTGCTGCAGAGGCTGTGGACAGCTTCATAGGTTGCGGCTTAAGTGGTTGCACCACCAGGGAGGCCCCAAAGTGATCCTTTTAAAAGAAAAGTTATGCCACGTCTGTCTTCTCAAAACTCTTGTAATCGCCTGTCTCAGTTAATGAAAGGACAAAATCCTGCTCACAGCCTACCTGGTCTGACTGTGATCCTGTCTTGATGATTCTGTTCCAGCCACACTGGCCTCCTTACTGCACCCAGAACACACGGCTGCTCTTGTCCTAGTGCATTTGCACTGGGGTTCCTCTGCCTAGAAAGAACTTGCCACAAACAACTTCATATAACTCTTGGTGTTATTGAGATCTTTCCTCAAATATCACCTTTTCAATGATACCTACATGAGTAAATGTAGCCTACATAGCCATCCTCTCTCTTCCCACACACTCTGCATGGCCTTCCCCACTGTATACTTTCCATGGCACTCACCACATTCTACCATGAGCACATCATTGTGTTACTAGACTGAATAATCATCCTTAAAGATGTCCATATCGTGGCCTCCAGGAAGTATAGTATGCTATAGTCTAAAAGGATTTTATATGTGTGGTTAAACTTAGGATCTTGATATGGGAAGATTATCCTGGATTAGCTGGGTGCGCCCAATGATACAGTCAAAAGAGAAAGAAGACTGAGAAAGAAGGTAAGGTTAGAAGCAGAGTTCAGACAGAAGATTCTAAGTTTTTGACATTGAAGTTGAAGGAAAGGACACAAGCTAAGAAAAGGCGGGCATTGTCTAAAAGTTGAAAAAGTTAAGGAAATTAATTCTCCCCCAGAGCTTCCAGAGGAAACACAACTTATGGACACATCTCAGTCTTCTGACCTTCAAAACTTAAGATAATAATTTTTTTTTTACTTTAATCTACCATGATAGTTTTTTACAACAGGAAACCAACCCATTATGCTGAAAAAAACAAAACAAAAACTACTGTCTCTCCTCAGTTGGACATATACTCTACAAGGTCAGCAAATATTGTCTTGTTTTTAGTTCACGAATATTCCTAAATGCAAAAATACTGTGTGCCAAATATCTGACATTTGGCAAATGTTATTTGAATAAATAGTAAATGTAGAACACCTCCTTATTCTAGAGACATTATCTTTATTAATTTAGCCTCAGTTCAAATGCAGTTTTGTGGCTACTCTAGCTCATCACCTTCTATTTTTCTTGTAAGTGCTGCTCCTCTCCCTCCTCTCCTCCCACTGCAACCCCCTGCACACTACAGCACACAATTTCATTTCCCCTTTTAAAAAAGAAGGGTTCTGAGTTTGTGGGCCCCATATTCCAAACTGCTGTGAATTTTGAACTTTATTTATAAATCCATAAGTTTAGTTGTTTCCAGCACTAGGATCACTACAGCTAAAGGCAGGTAGAGAGGACAGGTGAACAGAGAAGATGGAAACATAATAGGAATTTATCTAAAATGAGAAATTATGGGATCCCTCCTTTCTGCTAATTCAGAATGTGGCATTAAAAAAGGTTGGAGAGAAGATGGAAGGAATAATCCAGGGAACTGTCAGGGGGGCAAGAGCTAGACCAGACTAAACATCTGCTCCCAACACCACACAAACTCCCGTGTGTAGGTGCCATACTGGGCCTTGTGGGGACAATGACAAGCTAAACACCTCTTGCTGTTGGAGATGGGGGCACCCAGAGGAGGAGATCAGCACTGAACACAAAACAAGCATAATTCCTGATAAAAACAAATACCCAGAAAATGGCAGCTGAGGCCCTGAGCCTGGGCTGACTCAGCCACATGAAGTCCTTGCTACCCAGGGTCCTTAAGACAAGACAGGCTCAGGTGGTGTCTGCGTCCCTGTGATCACAGGCCCTGCTGGGACAGGTTCTACTGAGGGACAAGGACAAAGGGAGAGAGGAGTGACCACTTGAAAGCCCACGATGCACTGAGCCCAGACTGGACACAGGCCTCATCCCCCTCGGTTCCTCACAGCCTCTCCCGCACAGACCTAGCACAGGAAACATTCAGATCCTGGACTGTTCTCAGTGTTTCCTTTCATTTCTCTAAAAATTTAATATTCTCTTCTTTAACCCAACAGCCCCACCCTGTGACAAGGATTAGAAGAAACAAACATATATACACAGTTTTTTTTTATTGTTGTGCTTTTCCTTTTTAATTAAAGGTCCCTTACTAGTCCTGCCTCCATGAGTGGCCACAACTGGGGATGGGGGAGGGGAACCAGGCAATGTGGGGAGTGGGTCATCTCTATAACATCCCGTTTCTACACAGAACCAAACAGACAGCACAGGGTCGCTATTGTGGTTGAAAGGTGGCAGCACAGAAGGGGAGGAACAGTGAGGGCTTGGGGTATTATTTAAAAAAATATACCCCAATATACCTCTTGCTGCTGGAGATGGGGGCACCCAGAGGAGATCAGAACCGAACACGAAACAATCATAATTCCCTCGGTGGGGAACGTGATCTGCTTAAACCCAAGAGGGATCAGAAGATCAAAAGTGGTTTGGGAAGTCCGGATCTGTCAGGGATGGAGGGAGGAAGAAGGCCTGGGGTTGGGGGGGCTTTTGGCAACTAGGCAGAGGCAATGTCCTCCCCCTGCTGGGATTCCCTAGCCTCTCTGGTCTGGCAGGAAGGGGCAGCCTGCAACCCCTGTGGGCAGGTCTGGGGCAGCCAGATGCTTTAGGCAGTAGGGGTGGAAGGGGCTTGCTCTCCAGGGAGATGACAGTTACCCCCAGCTTCTCTGCCAGGGTATAGGATTTTTTCTCTTTTTTTAAATTATGCATGAACGAAATAGTGTGCAGGCCAGAGGTGCGGGGTGGGGAGTGAGAGGATTCACCAGAGACAGAGTGGGGAGCAGAACAGGTGGATCTACTGAAACATACTGCTGAGGGGAGCAGCGGGCGAGTCAGGAGAGGTCTGCTGTGGCATGTGGGTCAGCTCCCTGGCCGGGGATCGAACTGCTCTGCAGTGGCTGCCAATAGCTTCATAGTACTGAGACATTAACGCCTTATGCCGCCAGGGAGGCCCCAGCAGTTTGTAATTCATACTTGATCCGGGTCAGGCTTCTCCTTGGAGCTGGCTTAGATGATTTTGCACTTAAGGGTGCACACTCAGGGGCGCAGAAGATAAGCATCAGGTCCTCCTCCTTGCTGTCCTTGGTCTCTTAGGCTGCATCACGGAGGGCACAGTCCTTGTCTGGCAGCATCTTGACAAAGGTGGGTGTGGGTTGTTCTAGGTCTGGCCCACATTGCTTACCAGGATTTCTTTGCCCTCTGGGATAATGTTCTTCTTGTCCTCACTCGGGCAGAAGAGCACCACCTTCTTGCAACTCTCCACTTCCTGTGGTGTTGATGACTTACGCACCTTCATGTCATTGAACACTTTTCTGACACCTTCGGAGACAGCCACACTGGAAGCCATGTTTCCCAAGAAGGAAGGAGAGCCAGAAAAGGCAAGAGCTGCTACGGCTGCTGCCAGAATCCGACTGCATGTGGCCTTTCCCAGCCCCTTCTGTTTAGTATCAGATTCTATTTAATAAAGGAGAAGCTGCATCTCAGGGCAACAGAAGTTAAGACAGGGATGAAGACGACCCAGCTCCGCCTCTGCTGGAGCAGGAAAGTCATCAGGGAGAGACACAGGTCCGTGTGGGGAGGGGCCTGGTGGGCAGGGCTGGGCCAGTCTCCCACCTCCCCACATTGTGCTTATAGGAACACAGACAGACACATGCAGATGCCCTTTGCAACAGAGAAGTTGGGTGATCTTCAAGTCACAAAACCGAAGTTTGAACACATTTTGCATCACTCAGTCCTCCACAAGGGCAGGTAGCTCACCCCGGGAAAGAATGTCGAACAAAGCAGTTCACAATGGTGATGACATTCTCAACAGCCCACTGCGTGCTCAAAAATGTCCACATCGATCCATTCCCACACTTGGTCATGTCCTGTCTGCCCCTTCCCTCTCTTCAGGCTTCCAGAGTTTCACTTTAAAAGCTGCTTGGGGCAAAACCAGAAAACAGAACCTGGTTAGAATGCCCAGGAGATGAGACTAAAGGAACTATTATGGAGTGGGTGAGCTCCCCCATGGACTCCATCTACACTTTTCTAAGGGCCTTCCTACCCCACTTATATCCAGACTTAATATTTCTCTCCTTCTCCACCTATAGGAAGAAAACATTTTGTGAGAGGCCAGGGAGGAGGCAGGACCAAGAAGTCCTGAGAACTGGCCTATCCTGGGCTCCAGGACAGGATCAGGGAACATGAGGAGAGATTGCGTGTGGGAGCTGCGCCAGCCTCCTCCGTCCTTAGCAGGGACATTTCCTTTTTACCTGCAGCTACTCAAGTGAGGTCCCCACGACCAAGTCATCAAGTTGAAATATTTGTCCTTCATTTGTCATACCAAGGAGTTTCATGCGCTTTACAAAAAAGTGTCAGCAAACCCGGCTCTCAGCTGAGAAAGGACATGTGTGTGGGATCGGGCCTCACAGTATAAAGCAGACATTAGACAAGAAATCTCAGACTTCATATAATGTTTTCTGTATCTGAGTGCTCTTCCTCCAAATCACAACTCCAGTGAGCACAGCCCCAAGGAGAACCAGGCCAGCAATGATGCCCGCGGTGGCGATGGAGGACTGAGGAGGTGGCTCTGGAAGGGAAAAAAAGGTGAGACACTGACTTTCAGGCCTCAGCCCCCATCCTGCTAAAGGTCTCCATAGGGCTCCCAATCCCCCTGAGAAGAGTCTCTGTGCTCATGACCCCCTCCTTACCCCATCTCAGGACTTGGGGCTCCAGTAGCCCTGCATGCTGCACATGGCACGTGTATCTCTGCTCCTCTCCAGAAGGCACCGCCACAGCCGCCCACTTCTGGAAGTTTCCGTCCCCTCCAGGCCTGGTCTCCACCAGCTCTGTGTCCTGGGTCAGGTCTTCCCCATCTCGCTGCCAGGTCAGGGTGATGTCCGCGGGGTAGAAGCCCAGGGCCCAGCACCTCAGGTTGACCTCATGCTCAGAGGTGGGGTGGTGGGTCACATGTGTCTTTGGGATTTCTGAAGGGAAGATCAGATGATTTATACTTGTGTTACTTTCTCGGGCTACTGAAGCAGCCTCATGTGACCATCCTGAGAATGGACAGGATAATTGCATTGGATGGAGAGAGGGCAAAATTGGAACACCAGCCTGGCCTTGCAGGACTGGAATAATCTCCTAATCCTTGGAAAGTTCTAGAATCAGGGTACAACAGTTCAGGATACCAAGCTGCAGGGTTCTGAGGGAGAGACTTCTCATCTTGACCTGGATAAAAGCCCAAGTGACTCAGGAAAATTGGAGTCAGAATGGATGACCTCTGGGAACCAGATGTGAGCAAGAAATACACAGTCCCCTAGAGCACTGCCAGGATCAAAGAGAATCAGTTATTTCAGGACTGTTCCTCACCTGGAGAGAGCACCTTCCTTAATTGCCCCAGGACGGGCTGGCACTCTAGGGATTACTTTCAAGGACCCAGGCAGACTCCTCACCCTTTGGGGCATAGGAGGGTGGTATCTGGCCTTGAGCCCACTCTCCTTCCCTGTGCTGGACCCAGCCTTGGCCCTAGGGGAGGCCCGAGGCAACTCTTACTTGCACGCAGTGTCCTGTTCCCTTTCTTCAGTTGTCCTTGGAGCCACTGCCCACACTCCCATTCCAGGTGGGGAATATTGAACTCTTGTGCAACGGCATCCACCCACTCATCCTCCAAGAGCCGAACCTCCATGCCTGCTTGGGTCCTGGCGTGCAGCTCCTCCATCAGGGTGAGGTGATCAGTGCCGTCATAGGCGAATTGATTGAACCCGCTTATAGGACCATCTCTTCTCACTTCACAGCCAGTCCTTACCTGCAAGGTGTGAGACTCTGGCCCCACCCCCAAGGTCAGTCCCTTCCACTGAGCACCACCCCCATCCCTAGGCAAGCACATAACTGCTGCTGATTTTTAATAAACTAAAACCGAAACCAGGTAAAAGTTCCAAGTACTCTCTGGGAAGCTCCGACCCAGAGACTCGAGGGTAACCCTTGCCCGTACGAGGGGATGGCCATTGTGACCTGTACACACCTGTTTCGCTCAGGTTGTAGTATAGCCGCAGGTTGTTTAACCTTACTCTGGAAATGTGTACGTGGCTCTTGACAATCCGCTTTTCGCTCTCCCAATACTCCGACCCCTCTAGCTGCATCCACGGCACCGTTGCCTCCATTTTGGGACTCGGGTCGTCGCTGTCAAACCGCAGGAACTGCGTGTCGTCCACGTAGCCGACGACCACGAAGTGGGGCTCCCCGAGGCCGGGCCGGGACATCGCAGTGTGCAAGTACATTAAGGAGTGGGAGCCTGGGGGAGGGGAGGGGCTGAGACCCTGACTCTCCTCTGGGCGCCAGTGCCTGGTCTGAGGATGAAGGGGCCGGGCAGGGGGAGAGAGCGAGGGGGCTCTTGAGACTGAAAATGGGCGACGGGAGAAGGGCGGGCACAGGAGAGGGTGGAAGGAGGAGCAGGATACCCAGGCCAAGGTGTGGGGTTTGGTGCGGGTTGAGGAGAGGGCGGTCCGGGTCTGTAGGTTCCGGGACGGTCCTGCGCCCCCGCAGGGCGGTTCCCTCCCTCCTCCCCGGCGGAAGCGGTTTTCCTCCTGACTCTGCACTCACCTGCCCAGGTCTCGGTCAGCACCAGGGCCCCCGACAGCAGCAGGAGGAAGGTTGGGGGAGACATAGTCCGGATCCTCCTGGTCTAGGAGGAATCTAAACCTCAGTGCAGACTTTGCACCCGGAAGATCCGGTGAGGCTGTGTGGGGTAAATAAAAAGGAAAAGCATCAGGCGTTGACACCCTCCTACCGGCCCCGCCTGCCCATTCTGCCAAGGGGCAGAGGACAGGGTGTGGAGTGCAGAGAGCAGCAGAGAGGAGAACATGAAAACACCAACATGGCTGCTTGAACTGGTGATGACCCTATCCGGTATAGGTTGGTTGCGCTACATTTGGCATAGATAGCAGGGCGGTTCAAAGCAGGACGGGTTCGCTGCAGAAGAGTATGGAACCCTTTGAAACCTGGGGCGGGATTGTGGGGTGGCCACCACAAGCATATGGTACTCAGGGGCCAGCCTCCTCTTCCAGTGGACGTCTTCCCAGGAATGGCCAGAGGTGGATGGATCCCCGGGGCAGGTGGAACAGGCCCTGTATGAAATAGAAGAGACCCTGGATAGATACAGCGCCTGCGAGGGGGCAGGGGCTGTGGGATGGGTGTTTCTCACAGCTCTGTGAGAGTCTAGGCAGAAAGAGAGATCCAGAGTCCAGCACAGGATGAGATGCGGGAACTGCAACAATGTTTGAGGATTCTGGAGGAAGAAGTTTGGAGAAACCAACCCACCATTCTGAAGACACCAAACACCTTCTCAGGAGAGGAGGAGAGGGAGGCTGGCCCTTTACCTGAGTCTCAGCAGGTGGTGGCAAACCAACCTGCAACTCTGAGATGCCAGACTCCTCTGGAGAGGAGGAGGAGGCTGGTCCCAGGCTCCATGCCCACCCAGTGGTGACTCAGAAAATGAAACAACAGCGACCCATGGCCCCAGGGGGTGAGGCTGCTGGACCACCACCAATGATGGAATTTACTACATACCAACCTTACACCCAGGCAGAACTGGTGGACTTGGGCGAACAGTTCCGCCAGAAACCACAGGAACCCTTGGCAGCCTGGCTGCTACACTTGTGGCCCTGGGAGTGGATGGGATTACTTGTACAGCACAAGAGATGGAGAGACTGGCCTCAGTGACTTTACACCTGTCCTTGAGACAGAGGCTGCAGAACAGCCAGTGGTATGGCCAGGGGGATCATACCCTGCTGGAGTGGATAATGGCTGCTATATAAACAATATGGGCTGATGCAGGAGATGTGCCAGAGACAGTGAGCTGATGGCAGATGTACGCCAAGCTGGTACAGGTACTTTGGAAGTCAGGGGTGCGGCAGGCCATGTTCAATGTGAATACCCATGGTCCTGATGACGAGCATTTCACAGCAGAGATGAGAGACTTGGTATTAAAAAGTGCCCCCCTGGGCCTCCCCGGTGGCACAGCGGTTGAGTGCTGGGTTGTGAAGCTGCCCGCAGCCTCTGCAGCGCAGGTTTGATCCCCGGCCACCGGGTGAGGGTCCCACATGGTGCGCAGACCTCTCCTGCCGCCCGCTGCTCCCCTCAGCAGTGTATTTGGTCAGTCTGCCTGCTCTGCTCTCCGCTCTGACTCTGGTGAATTCTCTCACCTTCCTGTGCTTCTGACTGTACCCAGTGCTTGTATAAATAAATAAATTTAAAAAAAAAAGAAAAAGAAAAACATTTAAAAAAAATAAATAAAAAGTGCCCCCTAGGACCTGCCCCGGTGGCGCAGTGGTTGAGCGCTGGGCTGTGAAGCTGTCCGCAGCCTCTGTAGCACCAGTTTGATCCCCGGCCACCGTGAGGGTCCCACATGGTGCGCAGACCTCTCCTGCTGCGCCAGCTGCTCACCTCAGCAGAGTATTTCATCAGTCTGCCTGTTCTGTTCCCCACTCTGGCTCTGGTGATTCTCTCGCCCTCCTGCGCTTCTGACTGTACCCAGTGCTTCTATAAATAAATAAGATAAATCTTTAAAAAAAAAGTGCCCTCTCATCCTCATTTGGAGCCCTTCTAACACTCCATGTGGGACATCAAATACATGATGTCGTGACAATGATAGCTAGCTTGGGTGAAGTGGAGAGCAGGCGCTCTCAAACTCAGAAAGGACTATAGGTAATTGTCGAACAATCAAAAGGAATGCCAAGGAGGGCAAGGAGACCTCTTAGTTTCACAGAACCTGTTAAAGTTACCTGTAACCAAATGTGGACAGATTTAGTGAGAGCAGGTGTAGATCGCACTAAATTACATGCAAAGCCCAATGCATACTTGTTAGAATTATGGGAGCAACTGCAAGAAGCCTAGAGGTTCACACCCGTGAGAAGGGCTGCTGCTAAGGGGAAGCCTGGAAGCTCCAGGCCTCAGGGACACACCCGGTGCCTGGAAGACCACTTGCTGCCAACCCCATCCTCGGGTGATGGCCTGATCACTTTGAAGTAGGGTGAGGGCCAAGGAACCTGTCCACAGGGGACGGGAGAGGACCGGAGGCCACATGCGGAGCTTGCCATCCACCGGTCCCTGACTAAAGTGCAAAGAGTTTTGGCTTTGGTAGACACAGGAGCAGAATGTACTCTGCTCTATGGAAATTCCGAAAAATTTCAAGGGTCTGCTTGTTACATTGATGGCTGTGGGGGCCAGAGTACCAAGGTGACAGCAGTGAATTTGGTTGGGTAAGACAAAGGTTATCCCTGATGATAGATAAAGTACAAGCTTACCCCACTCCAACCACAGTGAAGCAGCTGCAAGCCTTTCTGAGCCTGCTGGGTTACTGGAAGGCATTTATACCCCACATGGCCGGGCTCCTGAGACCCTTGTATGTGTTGATATGAAAGGGGGCAGGTGGGACTGGTTAGTTGAGGCAGACACAGCATTTGCCATGGCCAAACGGACTATAAAGACTGCTCAGGCTTTGCAGGTTTTTGACCCAGCCCGACCCTGTGAGCTAGATGTGCATGTTACTCAGGAAGGGTTTGGGTGGGGACTCTGGCAGAAATCGGAGAGGCTACGACTGCCTATTGGGTTCTGTCCCAACTCTGGAAGGGGGCTGAGATTAGGTATTCCTTAATTAGGGGGCTGAGGTTAGGTATTCCTGAATTGAAAAACAGCTAGCTGCAGTACATGCTGCCTCACTAGCTACTGAAAGTGTAACTGTCACAGCTCCTGTATTAGTGAGAACCACCTACCCAATAGCCAGATGGGTATGGGACTGGACCACAAAGCCCCATAGTGGCACTGCTCAAACTCCCACTTTGGCGAAGTGGGGGGCATGCCTAGAACAGCACTGCACTCTATCAACTAGCCCCTTAAGGGCGGAGTTGCTGGAGGTTCTTGGTCTGGTGACGTATGTCAGTATGGAACCAAGTTCAGAAGCCTGTGTGGAAGCCAAACCTGAGGTTAGTTCCCACAAGGAGGGACAAGCACCAATTCCAGAGGAGTCCTGGTATACGGACAGCTCCAGCCAGAGCCAGCCAACATCTTGGACAGCTGTGGCTGTACACCCAGAAACAGACACTATTTGGTGTGAAACCGGGGCAGGACAGAGCAGCCAATGGGCTGAACTGCGAGCTGTATGGATGGTGGTGGCCCATGAGCCTTCCCCTCTAGTCATTTGTACTGACAGTTGGGCTCTGAGCAGGGGCCTGACACTGTGGGTTTCCATGTGGAATCTGAATGACTTGACAGTCATGCATCAGCCATTGTGGGGCCAGGCCCTATGGAAAGATCTATGGGATCTAGGGCATCAGAAGCAGGTGACTGTTTATCATGACACAGGACATGCCCCTTTGGCCTTTCCAGGCAACGATGAGGCAGATACCCTAGCCCGGGTTCGATGCCTTGAAACTGCTCCAGGGTGGGATGTTGCACAGTGGCTGCACAGACACTTGCTCCACACAGGGCAAGAGACACTGTGGGCCACTGTGCGTGCCTGGGGTCTACCTGTAACTTTAAGGAGGCTCAGATTGTTTGTGAACAATGTGTAGTGTGTTCCAGGACTTACCCCTGGAGACATTTTGCATCCATAGGCCAAGTGTTGCAGGGGCAGGTGCGACTGACACGCTAGCAGATTGAAATCACTGGACCACTACTTGCTCGGACAACAGTATGCGGCCACCTGTGTGGACATTTCTATCACTTATTGGCAGCTTATCCTGCTCTACATGCAAACCAAAATGCAGTTTGGGCAGCACTGACACGCCTGTGTGCTGCATATGGATGTCCGCTGGTAGTGAGAGCAACCAAGGGACTCATTTTACAGGAGCCTGGGTGCAGCAGTGGGCCAAGGACATGGGTGTTGAATGGAAGTTTCACACTCCCTATAATCCCAGAGCTGCTTGGATCACAGAGAACCAGCTCTGTGCCATCCTGGCACTACACGCGGACAGTTGTATAATGGAATTAGAACTGGGTGTGTACAGGATGACGGACTTGGCCCAGCATGTGATAGGGCAAAGTGGAGATAACATTCCCTTTGGCTTCCCCACCCAAAATGCTGCATGGAGGCCTGAAACCCCGAGAACCACGCCTGAGAACTGGAACTTAGTCCTGACCCTTCTGCAGTTGGCTCTTAGCTCTGGTGTCTTTCCTTCCGCATTCAGTAGCGTTTCTCACACTGTCTCTCTGAGTTCCAGAGGCTTTTTAAATCAGCAGTTCTCAAAATTTGTGTCTTAACAATCTCTATACACTCTTTACAGATGAATGAGGATCCCAGAGATAATTTTGTGGGTTATATCTACCAATATTCGCCATAATATAAATCGAAAGTTAAAAAAACATTTATTGAGGGCCTTTCTGGTGGTGCAAAGGGTTAAGTCTCAACACTGTGAAGCTATTCTCAGCCACTGAAGCAGGAGTTTGATCCAGGCCAGGTTGCTAACCCACATGGCACAGCAGACCTCTCCTGTCTCACCTGCTGCTCCCCTCAGCAGTGTGTTTCAATAGATCTGCCTGTTCTGCTCCCCACTCTGTCTCTGGTGAATTCTCTCTCAACCCTCCCACTTCTGGCCTATACCTAAACTCTTGTATGCATAAATAAATAAAATAAATCTTTTAAAAATCAAATAAAAAATAATTCATTTAGAATGATATTAACAACCCTACATGTTAGCAAAAATGAAATA